GTGGCTCAGTGGTAGAGCGCTTGCCTTGCATGCCTGAGGCCCTGGGTTCAATTCCTCAGCACCACATAAGAAAAAAGCTGGAAGTGGCGCTGTGGCTCAAGTGGTAGAGTGCTAGCCTTGAGCTGAAGAGCTGAGGGACAGCACCCAGGCCCAGAGTTCAGGCCCCACGACTGGACCCAAAAAAAAAAAAAAAGCAAATGTTGCCCCAAGATTTAGGTGATAAAGTGAACATTTTAGATTTGTTAAAAGGCTACATATCTTTAGTGGAAGTTGGGTGGCATTATGGGAAAAATGAATCCAGCATCCACGGTACAGGGTTGAAATCTGCATTCTGAGAATGTGTGGGATTTCCTCAACAACAGAGCTTTTGGAACTGTGATACCAAGGCTTTACCAATAAGTCATGGGAAGATAGAGCTTTCTGCCTTCTAATGAATCTGGACTTGGCCTAGGTTAACTATTACTGTGCATCAAGTGAGGAAAATTTTATTTCCATCATCCTTCTATAGTCATCACTTAATATTCCATTGCAGATAGAAGCTTCTCTATGTGTGTTTTTACCCATTTTTTATCAGTATGGATTCACTAGTTATCTCATTCAACTGATTACAGATATCTCTATCTCTATCTTTATCTCTATCTCTATATATTTGGTCCTGGGGCTTGAACTCAGGGCCTGGATGCTGTCTCTGAACTCTTTTGCCAAGGCTAGCACTCTACCACTTTGAGCCACAGCGCCACTTCTAGTTTTCTGTTGGTTAATTGGAGGTATGAGTCTTATGCATGTTCTTGCTCTGGCTAGCCTTGAACTGCGATCCTCATATCTCAGCCTCCTGAGTAGCTAGGCACCTCGCTATTTGTTTTGATGTTCCATTGCCCATTTTTGGTCATTGTGTTATGTTTCTGGCATTTTCTTCCTCCACAATCTTGAATTATCCAGACCTTTGGCCTCATGTTAACTTTCTGCACAGTAAGGCATATATTTCAGGGTATTCTTTATTGGACCTATGCCTTCCCATTCCCACAATCAGTCATCTTTCTATGGAATTTGGTTTCATTCTGTTAAGTATGATACTTAGAAATAAAACAGTGGTGTTGATGCTTCCAGCTCTCTGTGGACCAAGCCAGACCACTACAATGTCTGCATGTGTGTAAATACTATTTCTCATTGACCTATTGAATATTCATTTGTCTCATCCACTATATACTATGCTGAAATAGTAAGTTTATGCTAGTATTTCCAATTCTAATCAAATACTTAGCATTTATTTTAGCTTTATATCTGTCTATCCATCTATCTATCTATCCATCTGTCTATCTATCTGTCAACTGTAGGACTTGAACTCAGGGAAGGAAGGGAAGAAGGAAGGAAGGAAGGAAGGAAAGAAGGAAGGAAGGAAGGAAGGAAGGAAGGAAGGACAAGTGTATTTTTTTCTCTAAGCAATAAAAGATTTCTAATAGCTGGGTGCCAGTGGCCATGCCTGTAATCCTACCTAGTCATGAGGCTGAGTGAGAGCTGAGAATCACAGTTTGAAACCAGCCCATGCAGGAAAATACTTGAGACTCTTATCTCCAGTATACTACTCAGAGAAAGCAGCAAGAGGTGCTGTGGCTCAAGTGGTAGAGCACTACCCTTGAGCAAAAGAAGCTCAGGGACAGAGCCTAGGACTGGCAAACAAACGAACAAACAAACAAACAAAATGAGTTCTACTTACTCTCTCTCCCCTTCCATGCCCCATCCCACATGAAATATCTTGGTGTGAGAAACTAATCTAAAGGGATGATTTCCAAAGGATTCACTGACATTACCCTTTCAGTTTTGGTCTGAGAAGCCTCATTTTGGCTTGAAATCTGGGTCACCAAAACCAGTTCTTCAAATTTTTGGGAACTGAAACTCTTCCTTGGAGGACCGAATTATGCAATCCTAATCTTAGGATAACTTTAGATATGGGAAGTTAAAGAAATCGAAACTGGATATCACATCAATGCCATAAAATCAACACTTTCCCCAAGATAATGAATGATAATACCAATAAGTCCTAGCTACACAAGTCAGAGGACTCAATAAATGAAGACAATGGGGCACACACTGAGAGTAACTTGGACTTGGGACTCCACAGATTGGAGCTATGTCCCTCTCTAGGCAGCTGAAGAACTTTGCTCACCTCAGTTTCCTGGTAAAAGTCAAGTGATTAACAGCCACTTCATTTCAAGTTTAGAGTTTCTTAAAAAGAATAGCTGGGAAAATATGCAGCTTGGATAAAGAATCTATGTATGTACCCAATAAAACAATAGTAGCTTATACTTTCAAACTTTGATACTTCCTTAATACGTCACTGTGTTAGTCAGATATTTTAATGGCTAGATTTGGAACTTGTAAGTGCCACTCCTTGCAACAGAGTCTGATTCATGGAACAGAGTCACTATAACACATCAGAGAAAGGTGTTTTGATTTTTTGTTTTTTTTGTTGGTTTTGGGGCTTGAATTCTGGTCCTGGGTGCTGTCCCTCAGCTCAAGGCTAGTGCTCTACTCCTTGAGCCATAGCACCACTTCCAGCTTTTTCTACTTATGTGGTGCTGTAGAATCAAACCCAGGGCCTCATGCATGCAAGGCAAGCACTCTACCACTGAGCCATCTTCCCAGCTCCTCAGAGGAAGTTTTCAGGGGATTTAAATGGTACAAGGTGAAGTACTGAAAACCATTTTCTTGGTCAGGAATCCTGGCCAATACCCTCTGGCCAACATTGATCTTCCTTTACTTGTTTCCACAAATCATTGTGAGCCAGTGACAGAGGCTTTGGTAAGGAGAAAATGCATATGATTATGTAGGGTTATTTTGTAAGTTAATGGATTTACAGATTTAAGGAAGTACAAGGATTTCATTTTCCCAGTTTGTTTTTTTTTTTTTTGGGTGGGGGGAATTCTTACCTATTACAAACTTATAAGAATAGTATTGTCACTTCCCAAATATCCTGTTGCTAAACTCACCAATTATTGTTGAAGACATTATCTGAATTTGCCAGGTGCTGATGGTCCATACCTGTCATTCTAGCTACTCAAGAAGCAGAGATCTGGGCATCATAATTGGAAAGTATTTGTTTGAACAGACAAATCTGAGAGCACCAAGCCCCGAATTTAAGTCCCAGTACTGGTGCATTGATGTACACAATAGCTTTACTAGGAACACAATTCGCTCAGCAAATATGGGGTTGGAGGGGGAAAGCTATATCTATGGGGTTTCTCTTAGATTCAAGAGGAGCATCAATTATTGGATTTAACACTGTGCTGGAAACTTGGTAGTGTTCATGCTGCTTTCTAGCCTCAGTAAGAACTACATAAGCAGAAGGGAGAGGCAGGCTGCAGTATGGGGTATCACATCAGGTCTAAAGAGGAATGGTTCACATGGATCCTTACTTAAAGCTGCCTAAACAAGGATGACTACCAGGAGTCTCTTTGGGGACTTGGATAACTACTCTATGCAGAAGCTGTGTGCATGTCCAGAAAAAAAGAAGACATGATAATTAAATAATCACAATGGCTTTTAATGGGAGGTTTGTACCCATTACAAAGTGATTTGTGGGCTAGGAAGGTGGCTTAGTGGTAGAGTGCTTGCCTCACATGCATGAGGCCCTAGATTTGATTCCTCAGCACCACATAAATAGAAAAAGCCAGCCAGGCGCCGGTGGCTCATGCCTGTAATCCTAGCTACTGAGGAGGCTGAGATCGAGGATCACGGTTCAAAGCCAGCCCAGTCAGGAAAGTCCGTGAGACTCTTATCTCCAATAAACCACCAGAAAACTGGAAGTGGCACTGTGGCTCACATGGTAGAGCACTCGCCTTGAGCTGAAGAGCTGAGGGACAGTGGCCAGGCCCAGAGTTCAAGACCCACGACTGACAAAGAAAAAAAAAGGGGGTTGTCGCTTGCCCAACACTGCTCGGTGTGATCTTAAATTTCCAGTGGACCACAGCTGGCTTTCAGCAGCTAGAACAGAATAATCCCTGGGTACCCAGAACATCCACCATGCCAGGAGAGAAATTCAAGGTCCTGAAGGTAGCTTTGCCTCTACTCCTTGGACAGCAGCAAGCCCCAAGGAACATGGCCTGAAAAACTTTTCTTTTTTGCAGGATCAGGAGGGCAGCCGAATTTGGGGCCAAGCATCCCAAGCAAGGCCGATTTCCCCTGATGTCCATGAGCCTTCAAGGCATAGGAGTGATGGACTCCCCCCCTCCCCCCCGGCCCCTCTCCCAAGCCCAGGGCATAGTCTGAGTTTCTTTAGAGGTCTCTAGCAGCAGTGTGACCTGCAGGGAGCCACTTAGCATCACTTAAGTTTCATTTCCGGTCCTTCTACTTAGACGGGAAGGGGGGAAGGCAAGGAAGCACAGTATTCTCTTCTCATTGGAATGCTTGTAAGATCTCAGGGAAAAATGTGGGAAACTGTCTCCGCTAAGCCCCTGGCCCACAGAAAGCTCTTGTAAGTAGTGGTTGCTATTCCTAAGTGGTGGTTATTACCATTGTCATGATTGTTTTGGATGCATTTTGTAATCACCACCGCTGGGGCCATCACAGCCTCTGCCTATCTCCAGCAGGGTCCGACAGCTGTGGGATGGGGAACGCATTTCCCAAATCCCCTTCCAGGCTCCTTTCCTCTTCGGAGTCACTACTTCCCAGAAAGCAAGAAATCCCTTCCGGAAATTCTGTGTGTGTGTGTGTGTGTGTGTGTGTGTGTGTGTGTGTGTCTGTGTCTGTGTCTGTCTGTCTGTCTGTCTGTCAGTGTCTGTCTAACCCGATCCCCCACTCCCGAGTCCAAGCTGGCAGCATCAAGAACTGGCAGCCCCAGCGCTCAGCCAAGCTCCCCATCACCTTCCCAGGCGCGCTTGGCGCTCGGGTGCCGTCCCTACCCTCCACTGCCCCCTGGAGGATGCGGTCGGGAGCGCCGGGCCCAGGGTGCCCGGGCGCTGGCGGCGGCCCGCCCTCGGCTGGCTCCCGCCCGCGCGCCCGTGCCACTCCCTCTCTCCTTGGCTGCCCCAGACACATCTTCCACTGGCGTCCACCGCGAGGGACATGGCGAGGCTCAGCTGGGGGTACGGCGAGCACAACGGTGAGCGTCTTCCACGGCTCGGAGCGGGTCCCGGGGGCTGGTCGAGGGGACTGGGACCATGCCCAGTGCCCGGCGCCCGCAGACCGCGCGCAGCTGAGCTCACTCGGGCAAGACAACTTTTCGGTTCCTCTTTAAACTGAGCACCGCTCCCAGCGGCCCCGGGCAGGAAGCGGCGGGCAGGCTCGGTCTCCTGCAGACCCGGGGAAAAGCCCCTCCGCGAGACGTTGGTAGTGGGAGGATCAATACTGGTTTATTGTTTTGGGGGGTGGGGTGGGAGGTTTCCCAGACCCCTACACTCTTCCCTGTGTTCGTCCACCTTTACTTGAAAGGCGGAGGGCTTTAACAACAACTACTTCTCAAAAGCCTGGAGATGAGAAGTCAGATGACATACTTTCCTAAAATGAGGACAAGTTCACTTTCCGTCCTTCAAGCTCGCTATTCAAGGAGACACACAATCTTGGGGAAAAAAAATCTTTGAAAGGAAAATTAAGAAATCTGAACACCTGGCATAGTGACATCGATGATTTAATTGTCTCCTTGACAACCAAAACATTGAACACATTTTAATGGGTTACTGTAAGAGTCCCACAGCAGTTTGCCTATGAATGACTACTTTTGGCATCTGTGGTAAGGTTTTCTGTTCTTCCTGAGCAAGGAAAGGCACATTATGGGGTGCTTCTGCACACGCATCCTTGCAGAGGTGTGAGGATTCGCAAAGGGTTATTGAAAATATAACCGTGTTATAACTGTATTTATTGATGGGAGTGACAATAATAAGGCATGCACTTCTCTTTTGTGTATCTTAAGGTTTGACAAGAAAACACTTTTCTTTTTCTTTTTTTTGGGGGGGGGTCCGGTCGTGGGGCCTGAACTCTGGGCTTGGGTGCTGTCCCTCAGCTCTTCCGCTCAAGGCTCGCGCTCTACCACTTGAGCCACAGCGCCACTTCCAGCATGCCTCAGGCATGCAAGGCAAGCGCTCTACCACTGAGCCATCTTCCCAACCCCGAAAACACTTTTCTTATTTGTATATTAGGTTGAGCTGATTGTTTAAAGATTATTCGATATAGCCGCAAAGGTGTATACACAGTTAAACTAACTAAGGTACGGTACTGGGAGGGGTGGATGCCCAGGGTATAACCCCATTAGAGCAATTAATCGTTTAACACAATGAATACCAGCTGAAACAGGTGCCCTTTGAGAGTGAGTGACATTTAAGGGGAGAGATTAGTTGAATGGAACAAATACAGTCATATTTAATGCACATATGTGAAAATGGAACTATGAAATTTGAACAAATGGATGGGGTTGGGAGAGATGCAGGGTAAATCATGGAAGGGCTGACGCTGATCGAGATGTATTGAATTGAAACACTTTTCTACAACTATTTAAAAATAATTAAAATGAATTTTTTAAAGAACCAAATTTATCACAGAGAGACACCAAGAAAATGTTACAGTGGATGACTATCAAAATGGGGACATGTTCATTTACTGTATAGAAAGTTAACTTATAGAAGCAGAAATGTTTCATTTCTAGTCATAGCTTGTTTTACGTATTACTGCATTAGTTTATGAATGGCAACAGGTGAAGTTTAGAAGTTTCATAATGAAAGATATAACTTAGATGAGTTTCTTTTGGACTGAGCCATAGTATCATCTTATTTTGGCTAATTTATAGTTTATGTTTTGGAAAAACAAACCTCACAAACAGATTTCATTTCTTGTCCTCTGCCTGATGAAATCATTTTCATTACTGGGCTTTAATAATTTTTAGGTGCTAAGAGCATGTGAACTGTATTTCAATCAAGGAAAATGTTTATACTTTTTTATGTTAGAAAATATTGGCACCAATGAAGTTCATCTTTAGAAATACTTAAAAAAATCATTTTAGAAGCCTGGTGCTAGTTGCTCAACTAGTTGCTCACGCCTGTATTCCTAGCTACTCAAGAGGCTGAGATATGAGAATAGTGGTTCAAAGCCAGCCTGGGCAAGAAAGTCCACAAGATTCATCTCTCCAATTGAACACCAAAAAGGTGGAAGTGGTGTGTGGATCAAGTGGTATAGGCCTAGTCTTGAGTGCAAAAACTCACAGACAGTGCCTGAGTCCTGAGTTCAAGACCCTCTAGAACTAGTGCACGCGCGCACATGCTTACACACACACACACACACACACACACACCACGCACACATTTTAGAAAAGGCATTATTAAAGAGTCATTATGTATTTTAGCTAGGAATTAAAGATCGTATCTGTCTTGTAGACTTTATGGTTTTCTGAGGACCACACATTGATGTAAAGTTGGCAAATTTCTGTGAGAAATATGTTGTATCCTGACTAGACAAGTTCCATAGCTTTTTTTTTTTTTTAATTTAGACTTTGGCAAAACTAGTCACCAGTCAGATTAGGGAAATTTGGGAAACTTAAAATTTCCCTGACTCTGCATGATAAAAGCTTTGATCAAATAGAATATCAACAAAGTCAACCCTGGAAGGGGTCCCAGGCTAACAAGCAATATTCAATTACTTCCACTAACCTTTGAGCACTTTATTGGTTTGGATTAGGCTATATGACATCATAGAAAATTACATATCGAGTTTCTAAAAGTTTTGAGAAACCACCCTATATCCATCTCGGCTTCAGAATGATCTTTCATTCCATGAATTTGAAGCTGGGTGTTCTGGAAACTTTACAAAAGAGAGGCCAATATAAGAGTCTGGAAAATGAGGCAATTATAGTGAACCAATTTATGTATAGTGAACCAATTATAGTGAATGAGTCAATTAAAAGCATTGGATATCTGATAACAAAGCAGTTTTGTTTTTATTTTATTTCTGATTGGCTCTTCTAAAAACAGTTCTGGTTATAAAGAATTGAGAAGAGTAAAGGATAGGAATTAGGAGAGAAAGAAGACTCTTTGCTGACTGTGGCAAAGCCAAGAGCGTGTTGTGACACATGTATTGCATATTTGAAATCTGATTCTTATTAAGTTAACTCATACTTGATGGCAGTGAAACAGAAAGGTTTCTCACATTAAAAGAGGACAAGATTGTCAGGCTCTGGTGGCTTACGCCCATAACCCTAAATATTCAGGAGGCTGAGATCTGAGGATCTTTGTTTGAAGCCTGCCCAAGCATGGAAATCAATGAGACTCTTATCTTCAGTTAACCATCAAAAAGCTAGAGTGGTACTGTGGCTCAAGTGGAGAGGACTAACCTTGAGCAAAGAAGCTCAGGGACAGCTGCACTCAGGCTGTGAGTTCAAGCCTCAGGTCTGGTGAGAGAAAGGAGAGAGGGGAGAAGGGAGAGGGGAGAGAGAGAGAAGGGAGAGAGAGAAGGGAGAGAGAGAGGAGAGAGAGAGAAAAGGAAGGAAGGAAGGAAGGGAGAGAGGGAGGGAGGGAGGGAAGGAGGGAGGGAGGAAACAAGAAGGAAAGGAAACAAAGAAGGAAGAGAAAAGTACTTAGGAAGGGCAAATGAAAGCGTTTAATGACTAAGGAAGTACAATGCCTTTACTATAATATTTTCTAAGGACTTTTGGTAGCCAAATTTCTTTGAAGTCTAAACACCTTTAAATTGAGTGTGCAGTTATGTATTCATGGTGTATAGGGAATATATGTGAAAAGAATAACATACATTCTTGCTTCTTCATTCCTCTTCTCTTTTTTCTCCTTTTAGAGATTGAAGTTGCTGATGAATGCAAAATATTGTATTTCCCAAATCCTATTCCAAATTTCATGATTTATGAGATATATGCTGTTGTTTAGTGATGTTGTGCAATGATCACCATGCTAAGCTGTTTTAATTAGAACTTCATTTATTTTTTTAGAGCAAAAATGGTTAGTGAAGTAACTATGTGCCTCACTTACCTGGTGATAACTATGTAAATTGCAGCATAGTAGAGAGGAGAAAATAACAGCTTCCAACCTACAAAGTGACTCACCCTTGTAAAATGAACTGGGGCTTATATGGAGTTGCAGCCTTGTTGTTGATTTTGAGCCAGAACGTGAATAGAGTGGTCCAGAGAAATGAAAATGATAGACTATTGGCATACTAGCTTAATTCAATTTATCTAAAAGGCTCTGGTTTATGAATGTGATGAAGTTTTGACTTATTTTGCATGGAGGATTACAAGGAAAAGGTCTTTGTGTTGAAATTCAATTGGCATGTTGCAAAGTGATTCCTGAAAGACCTTCTGAAAAAGTATGAGAGAAATAAATTGCAACCTGATCCTGCTGCAGAAAATTTACAATATTACATTTTTTTCTGACATGGAACAGCTATTTTACTTGGATAAATCGGTGCAATGCACATAGGCTCTTCATTTTCCAATTGCACATTGTAGGGAATAGAGCTGTTTGACACAGATGTGTGACACAGATGATACCCGTGAGCCTAAAGAAAAGGAAGGAGGAAGGGAGGACAGAAGGGGAAAACTAGAACGCTTTCTTTGGGCCTAAGATTTCTCAGCCTTTTTGACTCTCCCAACCCCGTAAACTCGTTGACCCCTGGAACAGCTAAAGCACATTCTTGGATAGGAAACTGAATCTCTTTGTTTTCAATGATGAATTACACTGTTGTGTTTAGTTTGGTGGACTGGTACCTTTGGAAAGTACTTTATAAAATTGATATGCTCTTTTGTCTATGTGGATTATTTTAATTCTGAAAGTGACAACAAATCATAAATTAAAAAACACATAAGTAGTTTTGAAGATGCTAAGGTCCTGAGAATTACGATGTTATTTTATTAGTTTGTATTTTCACACAGTGAATTACACTTAACTATTTCTTGAATAAAGGAACTCATTAACTTTTTCTTTGGGTCCTTTGCCTTGAAGGTCCTATTCATTGGAATAAATTTTTCCCCATTGCTGATGGTGATCAGCAATCTCCAATTGAGATTAAAACCAAAGAAGTGAAGTATGATTCCTCGCTTCGACCTCTGAGTATCAAGTATGACCCCACCTCAGCTAAAATCATCAGCAATAGTGGTCATTCCTTCAACGTTGACTTTGATGACACGGAGGACAAATCAGGTTGGAATGATTGATTTGTTAAGAGTAGAAGTGAGCATTTGGATGTTTAGACTTTATTCTCTTACCTTTCATACCTTTCATATGTAGCTGAAATTTGATGAATCAGAACGATATTTTTTTCTCCTTGTGAGTTGAAATGGCCTGTCATATATCAAAACATCATAAATATCAAGATAACGTTACTTTGAAGAATACAAAGGAGAGTTTGAAAAGGGTGTGTTGAGTGGTTTATGTAAATGTCTTAGCTAATTATAACTTCATTTAGCATTTATCACTTGAAATTTTGTAATATTTTATAAGTAGTTCTTTTATGTGTTATTTTATCTTTACTATTTATTATTATTAGTAGTAGTATCTGTATCAGTGTGTTTTAATTTAACATATCAGTCTGTGAATACAATGCATCTTGATTAATGAATAATTCTTAACCATTTTGGGTTTTTATTTATTTGAAAATTTATGATTCTGGTTATTACATGTTTTAAGAGAAAAAGTTTTTTAAATATAGTTTCTTAATTTTATGATTAATATGTGTATACATAATAACCAAAACAATACAAAAATGTATAAAATTTAAATATCTACCCATTTTGACTCCCCATGTACTCAAAGCTGCATTCTTCCATACTATTTAAGTATATAGCCATGCATATAGACATGTATATTATATTGCTTTACATTTTATTAAAATTTTTGAACTAGTGCTATATTTACTCTGAATTTTCCCTCATTTGACAATATTTCATGGATATCTTTCTTGGTTAAAATGTATAGTACTAACACTTTTGCTTAAAAAGATGAATTTTTCTGCTTGACTCAGACATATACTAGATATTGCAAATAAGGGAAACCATGGGACCTATGTTTCTTTGGGCCTGGCTTACTTCACTTAATATAATTT